GAAGCTGTACATGGAGGGACTTAGGACCCAGGGGAATGTAGGTGAAGCAAACAGGAAGAGACGGAAGAGACGTCACACAAACAGCTGTTCACCGCTCACTGCCGGCTGGTTCTGGTGTTAAAAATGTCTGCTTAATAATAAAAAATAAACTGCGTTAACCTGCGATAAAATAATTGTCGGCGTTAATTAATATGAATGCGTTCATGCGATAATAACATAATAACGCGTTAACTTGCCCAGCACTAATATATATATATATATATATATATATATATATATATATATATATATATTAATTAATACATCTTTTTTAGTTCCCAGAGGAGCTTCAGAGACTCACCTCTAACCTTCGGACCGTCGATCTGACAGCCAATAAGATCGAAGTTCTTCCTCCCACCGTCGGGAACTTCCTGCATCTCAAGAGTCTGACGCTGAACGGGAACCGACTCGGTGAGAGATCCAACTGTTGATGTTGTTGTTGTTGTTGTTGTTGATCTGGTTCTGATGCTTTGGTTCAGTTCTACACTGGATGAGGTCTCTAAACATCTGGTTCTGATCCGGATTAACCTCCGGATGTTTCTGTCCTCAGCCAGTCTCCCCAGTGAGATCGGGAAGCTGAAGAAGCTGGAGACTCTGAGTCTGAATGGGAACCGGATCCAACAGCTGCCCCCCACTCTGGGCCAGCTCAGAGCTCTAAGGACCCTCAACCTGTCCGGGAACCAGATCTCAGAGTTCCCCCCCGGACTGGGAACCCTGAGGCACCTGGACCTGCTGGACCTGTCCCGAAACCAGATCAGGAATGTCCCCGCAGCCGTGTCCGAGCTGCAGACCATCGAGATCAACCTCAACCAGAACCAGGTACCGCGAGTCTCTTGGTCCGGTTCAGACTCGGTGCTCATGTTTACCGATTTTATGAACCTGTGTCGTCAGAGGAGCTGCTCTCATTATTATATGAAACAAATGTCTTTGAACTAGTTTTACTGAGTCAACTCAACTTTATTTATAATTTATTTAAATAACACAAACTAGTCATCAACCTCTGGTTCTTTAAAGTGAAGTCAAAGCATCACGTGTTAAAGCTGCATTCTCTCTAGTGTCCACCAGGGGGCCAACTCCTCAGGTTGTATAGAAGTCTATGAGAAAATGACTCTACTTCTCTCTTGATTTATTACCTCAGTAAACATTGTAAACATGAGTTTATGGTCTCAATCTCTAGTTTCAAGTCTTCTTCAATACAGCATGATGTTCATTTAGTACATTATGGTCCATTTAGAGTCAAACAGACCATAGAGGAGGGTATGCTTTAGGGCGGGGCTACACGGTGATTGACAGGTATCTAGTAGACCATAAAGCAGGGTATGCTTTAGGGCGGGGCTACACGGTGATTGACAGGTCTCAGTGTCACAGACTAAAGAACACAACGTTCTCCTGTATGAAGATTAACTCAAACAAACCAACAACCACAGGTGTCAGTAGTCTAGGTTCCAGGTCTGAAGTAATCCGGTTCTCCTCCTGATCCAGATCTCGGTGCTGTCGGCGGACGTGTCCCTGTGTCCTCGTCTGAAGGTCCTCCGTCTGGAGGAGAACTGCTTGGAGCTGTCCTCCATCCCTCAGTCCATCCTGGGGGACTCCCAGGTGTCCCTGTTCTCAGTGGAGGGGAACCTGTTCGAGGTGAAGGATCTCAGAGATCTTCAGGGATACGACAAGGTCAGAACCACTTCCTGTTACGATGCATTCAGGGTCTGTGGGAGATAAAGGGAGATTATAGAGCACACAGCAGGTCTGTGATTGTAATCCCTCACTTAAAACTGCAATGGATATCATAGTCTCTGGTGGTGTATGGTGGTTTCTAATGGTCTGTAATGGTTTCTGATGGTCTGTAATGATTTATACTGGTCTGTAATGGGTTCTGATGGTCTGTAATGGTTTATCCTGGTCCCAGATGGTTTCTGATGGTCTGTAATGGTTTATAATGGTCCCAGATGGTTTAAATGGTCTGTAATGGTCTCTGACGGTCTCTGTTGTTCCCCCTTCAGTACATGGAGCGTTTCACGGCCACCAAGAAGAAGTTCGCCTGAAGACCGTCAGCGGCGAGTCTGAACTGTGGAGCGTCACCGTGGGGGGGCGGGGTCAGCTGAGACTCCGCCCGCTGCTGCTTCTTCTGCTGCGAAAATACAGACCACCTCACAGCCACCCACCCACCCCCGCTACCTGCTGGACTTTATGCCTGCTGCTTCCTGTTTGATACAGTTAACCTTTGTGACAGACAGACAGACAAGACAGTCTCTGAGACGACATGAAGAAACCTATTTACCACCAGAGAAGAAGAAGACGGAGCTGTTTGTGATGGTAAACCTTCACTGTGTTTCCAAATGACAGCTGAGACTCAGGGAAGCGTTCACACAACGTTCACCAACGTTCACCCAACGTTCACCCAACGTTCACCCAACGTTCACCCAACGTTCGACCAACGTTCGACCAACGTTCGACCAACGTTCGACCAACGTTGACCCAACGTTGACCCAACGTTGACCCAACGTTGACCCACGTTCACACAGCGTTCACACAGCGTTCACCAACGTTCGAGCAACGTTCACCCAGCGTTCACCCAACGTTCACCCAACGTTCGACCAACGTTCGACCAACGTTCACCCAGTGTTCACACACGTTCACACAACGTCTCTTTAAATGATGATGTTCTTTCACCTTTAAGAGAGGTTTGTAGAGACAAAGACACAGAGTTCAAGATGTTTACTGGATGAAAAGCTGATTTCCCAGAATGCAGTTTAATTTTATTCGTCACCTAAAGAGCCTGAAGACAAACAAACAATTACAGCTGAAAGAGTTCAATAAACTAAATCAGATTAATATTTAAACACAAATAGTCTCTGGTATGAATCTCTATTTACTTTAAGATGAATCATTAATTATTAGTAAAATACTGGACGTGATGTTTATTAAACGAGTTCCTACAGAAACGTTTTAGGATCTGAAGCTGATTTCATAATTGATTTATTAAAATAAAACCTTGTTAATGAATCAGTTTTAATCATCTTCTGTCTTTGACTGTTTTGTGTTTAGAAATCAAGGTTTGTGTCATAAATAATAATAATATTAATAATAAGGAACAAACGTCTTATTTACATGTTTGGACTGTTTCTTTAATATTAACTCTTTGATGTCAGCTGCATGTTTACATCCTTTCTCATTTTCAAGCATGAAGCATGTTTTACACTTTAATCAGAACGTCTTCCTTATATATAATATATGTATATTTGTATATATTATATATTAGTACCCTCCCCTGTGTATGAGGTGCTCGTCTCATCAGGTGAAACTTTTACTGAAATAAAAGCAACAATAACACAAAGAAACGTCTCTTTTAACTGTACAATCACAGTAGTACTAAATACTACAAAGACACAGAAAACTACAACAGAAGTATGCAGTAGAAGTATAAAGTAGTAGTAGTAGTAGTATAGAGTAGTAGTAGAAGTATAAAGTAGTAGTATTAGTACAGCAGAAGTATAAAGTAGTAGTATTAGTACAGTAGTAGTAGTAGAAGTATAAAGTAGTGCATTTTATAGCTGGGCCTTCACTGCTGTCTTACCACCTAATAACCTCATGATGGCGCCACAGCTACGGTTATTTGTTTCTCGGGTGTAACATCACGTATTCGTATTAAACCATTCGGTACGAGGCTTACAAACCGAACAATACGTTTGAATAATACTGGTGCATTTGTAAAATGCAGAAGCTTAAATTGTGGTAAATATAATGTTTTCGGTGGAGACACCGGTCTGTCTGTCTGTTTAGTTTCCGGGTCAGCGTCTGACCCCGGAAACTAAACAAAACACAGCTGAGGCACGTATGTTCTGCGAGGCTATGCTAAACTAGCTTAGTATGGAAAACAACACGCACAAACTCACGCTGCATTCTCCCCGCAGCGTTTAGCTGTTCCTACTGATTCAAACAGGGCAAAGCAATCGCCACACAATCCCCATTTCTCCAGACCATCATTCTTGCTTTGTAAAAGAAAACAGCCCAAACAGATTCAATTATCCGGACCCTGAACCCACGCAGGGCGGGATGCTTCGTCATTAACAGACAATGCATATGGTCAAAATCGATGTAATTAACACAATGACAAGAGCTAACTCACAAGAACCAGTCACATGTATTTACAACAAAACATGACAATCCAGCAACGCACACACTAAAGAGCAATGGCCATTCAAATATTATTTACATCAGGGAACAATATCCATAAACGACACGATGGGCAAATTAAAACACTGCAGATGTAAAGAAAACAAAAGCAGTTTCACTTCCCAAATGCTGTTCTATTTAAAGACAAAGTCCATCCTCCTGTCTTTGTTTACAAAGAGTTCAATAACGCGGCTGTGCAGTGCATCCGTGCATTTCAGTTTCAGCAAGAGGTCCTTTTCGATTGCCATGGATGCCAGTGAAGACAGTCGAGCCTCCCCAGTTGCGTTTCTGGAATCGGTTTTGATGCGTTTTAGGGCTGAAAATGTCCGTTCGACAGATGCAGTCGATATCGGGATCGTCACCGCCAAACATGCCAGTGCGTAAAGTTGACGCATGCTCTCCACCAGATCTTTCTGCTGAAGGAAAGCCAGTAGATCAGCAGGGCTTTTTCCTTCAAAGTCAGCCATGGCGTACATTACAGTCAGTTCTGTTTTCAGCCGTGTGAGATCATCAAACAGACATCCGTGACTCTGTGTTAGGTTGGAGAAGGCCGAATCCGGGAATTTCTTCCGATATGCCTCAAACTGCTGGGGGTCGAGGAGGGAGAGGAACATTCATTTCTTGTGGTCTTTACCGTGAATACCGTTCATAGTTTGCGGACTGAAAGTGGCGCACAAATCCTTTTCCTGGCTGAGTCAGGGCTGCTAGCTGGGGGGTTGGCCGGCCATTTCTTACTATGCCCAGTTTGTCCGGAAATGTCCTTCTTGAGAAACTCCGCCACTAAATCAGTTTCTTCTCCTCCTTCCGCCATTTGATGTTAAAAAATCAAAGCTAGGTAAAAAAAACTAAAAATGCCATAATTTCTTCCATATCTTTCCACTTGAACTCTGACTGCTAACAATCTAAGTTCTGCTAGCAAGCATAAGTTTCACTTTGGTCACGTGCTCGCCCACTGACCAATCGCTGCACCTCACTGCAGAGCTGCACCTGGAAACTGAGCTGCACGTAATGCTGACGTAGTTGTAGGCCAGCTAGCAGGCTCTGTCTGACACGTCAAAGAATACGCTCAACATGTCAAACTAAAGATCTGATTGGTTGAACACTATGACAATCAACAATATCGTCCCCATTCACTTAAACTGCACATGGATGCACTTGTGAGTCTGCAGGCCTCTGCCTCTGTCCTTACCTAGAGACACAGAGGTGAACTCTGATTGGATAAAAGCTCTACTTAAAACAAGCTGCACTGCGGTGCTCCGGAAGCAAATCACTGGCATGTATTCTGGGAGTGTCCAGTGATACAACCTTTTTGGGCAGAGTTTCATAAAACATTAAAAAGCATACTTAACACTGACCTGCCTCTGCAATTTTCCACATTATTCTTAGGAAAATTTGATTTCCAAACAGGGCATCCAGATGAATACCTGTTTGGCATTTTAATAACAGCTTGTAAAAAAACACTCACAAGGCGCTGGTTGCTTCCTGAACCCCCCACGATACAGGAGTGGATAGATATAGTAAACAACAACTATGGAAAGGATCACTTTTTCCCTTCGCCTTCAGAGAAACAGGTTTATTCAACTCTGGGGCAAGTGGGTGAGATACGTAAAACCATTACAAACAGATTTTGTGGAATAGTGAATGAATGACCCTGTAACGTTGATTTAGCTTAGCAAGCATCATCGACCTCTATCACATTCTCTCTCAAGTCCCCCTATCTGATGTTTTTTTTTTTTTTTGTTTATGTGTACACTCTCCCAAATTGTACAAAGTTAGCTAACTTTGAAAAACTGTGGACACCATATATGCTGGTGCGAACGTAAACTTGATAACCTAAACTACTGTCCAAAAATAATTTAAAAAATAAATGATTAAAAAAAACAAGCTGCACTGGAAGCAGAGCAACTGAGGAAGACAGTAGCTGTGCAATGAGAACATAAGATAATGGGGAAAATATTTATATAAATTATAATACATGTAGTGTATTTAAGAAACATTATTAAATTATAAAATAGATATAACTTTGTGATTCTGTTTAGGCCAGCAGAGAAGGCTTTGCTGGCCTTGACAGCGCACCACTGACACAGGCACGCACATTCCTGAGTGAGACCAACAACAAGTGTCAAACTAGACAGAATGTAAAACACACTTCTTTCCGGTGACGTCATCACTGTTTACCTCAAAATTTATTAAAAATGAACTTTTAAAATAGTCTGTTGTCTTTAGTGACAGTTTTCGCCGGTTATGTGAAATATTATAAAATTCTGCTTTACAAATTTAAATATGTAAACTTGTAAAAGAAAATGAATCAATTACAAATGAAATATGGACCGATAATAATCTTTAAGATACTTAAGTTGTTTTTACATTTGTTGTATATCCCAATCCATAACCTGTATTATAAATAAAATATAATAATTGTGTGTAAAAGATCAAAAGTCTGTTATAAAACGAGCTTTTATTTTATTTTGAAGGCATCTTTTCCGGTGCCTTCCTTAACACGTGTAGCTTGACATCACGTTCTCTCAGTGTTTGCTTCTGAAACATGAACGTTCTCCGGAAACTAAAAGTTCACTTTGTATCACTTCTTAAACACTTTGTTCTTCGGTCGCTCCCCTGAACGAGTCCTCCTCCATGAACTCAGCGGTTTAAACACTTTTCTCCTGTTCGTCCAGCTGGGACGAGGCTCCAGTGACGGAGACCCGAGCCGAGCCGAGCCGAGTGAACCGGTCTAAAAACATCCAGAAATAATGAGAACATGAAGCGGCTTGTGTGGATTCTACTGTTTTTACTGCGCAGCCATGAAGGGATCTGTGGGAACGGTAAGTGTTCATTATGATATAATAAATAACAGCCATGATAATATACATATGGAGCCACGACTCAGCGATAAATCAGTGTTGTTCTGTCCGGAGTCTGTTACATTTATGAGGATAAACTGGTTCAATGTGGTGACGTTTACAAGGTCAAACTCCATTTAAATATTAGTTTAAAGTTGTAACCTTTCTGTTAAGTAAAAAGTGTAAATATAATTTAAACGTGGATAATAGTGAACAAAGGGGAGCTTCTCGTGTCTCCTGCAGGCGTGTCGTTCACGAAGCATCCGACCAATCAGACGCTGTCTCAGGGGAACGCAGCGAGGCTGGGTTGTGCTGTTCAGGGTCTGACGGAGCCGGATATCTTCTGGATGAAAGACGGAGAGAAACTCTACAGCACCGACCAGATGTTCATCACACTGGGAGAGCAGCACTGGGAGACCTTCCACAGGTAGATATCAATACGTCAATGTATCAATATATCAATGTATCAATATATCAGCGTATCAATACACAAACCCTGTCAACACTAACTCATTCACAGTAAAAGTCCTTTAACTCCTTCACAGTAAAAGTCCTTTAACTCCTTCACAGTAAAAGTCCTTTAACTCCTTCACAGTAAAAGTCCTCTAACTCCTTCACAGTAAAAGTCCTCTAACTCATTCACAGTAAAAGTCCTCTATCTCCTTCACAGTAAAAGTCCTCTAACTCCTTCACAATAAAAGTCCTCAAACTCCTTCACGGTAAAAGTCCTCAAACTCCTTCACGGTAAAAGTCCTCTAACTCCTTCAGAGTAAAAGTCTTCTAGGTGCTTCACAGTAAAAGTCCTCTAACTCATTCACAGTTAGTCCTATAACTCCTTCACAGTAAAAGTCATCCAACTCCTTCACAATAAAAGTCCTGTTGCTATTTCACAATAAAAATACACTTGCTACTTCACAATAACAGTCCTCTGGTTGCTTCACAATAAAAGTCCTCTAGTTGCTTCACAATAACAGCCCTCTGGTTGCTTCACAATAAAAGTCCTCTAGTTGCTTCACAATAAAAGTCCTCTAGTTGCTTCACAATAACAGTCCTCTGGTTGCTTCACAATAACAGTCCTCTGGTTGCTTCACAATAACAGTCCTCTGGTTGCTTCACAATAACAGTCCTCTGGTTGCTTCACAATAAAAGTCCTCTGGTTGCTTCACAATAACAGTCCTCTGGTTGCTTCACAATAACAGTCCTCTGGCTGCTTCACAATAACAGTCCTCTGGCTGCTTCATAATAAAAGTCCTCTGGCTGCTTCATAATAAAAGTCCTCTGGCTGCTTCACAATAAAAGTCCTCTAGCTGCTTCACAATAAAAGTCCTCTGGCTGCTTCACAATAAAAGTCCTCTAGCTGTTTGAAGTTAGTCAGAAGTGTAACGTTGGTTTAAATCTTTCGTAATATTTCTGACACTTTGCAGGTAACATGATTATCAAATGTAGCTAAAGTCCTCTAGTTGTGTCACAATTATTAAAGTCCTCCAGCTGAGGTAAAAGTTTTAAAATAAGTGTGAAGTCATTTTGATTTTTGCAGTTTAAACTATTTTCAGCATCTAAACATGAAGTTGTGTGACACGTTGAAGTGACTTACTTGTTTCATAACCTCTGACATCAAAACATTTATCACTTCTAAGGATCTTAAAACAGTTAAAACATCATGAAGTCTGGCGGGAGTGGGGCGTCTGTAGGTCAGTGATGGTTGTTTGATGGTTGAACAGATCAACAGTAAATACAGGCAGAGCTGCTGTTTGGTTTGAAGACAAGCTCCTCCTCTTTCTAGAGTACATTTAAACATAACTCTGTCTTTTAATTTATCAAAATAAGTTAAACTACTTATCAGTGTTATTTCAGTGAGGGTCAGAGGTCAGAAGGTGTCAGATTGTGACTTATGATATTAATAATGATATCTGGTTATATAAATATCATTAAAATGACTTGAATTAGCCAAACAAGAACCTCTCATTTAAATGATCAAAACTTAAGAGGAATCCTAAAGTTTTGACTTTGTGTTGAAATTTGATTCAGTTTTTAGTTATAAAGTGAAATCCTGATTATTTGAGTTGGAAATGTAAAATATTATTATTACATTTCATTACATTACATTACAGTCATTTAGCAGACGCTTTTATCCAAAGCTACTTACTATAAGTGTGTTCAACATCGGTATTCAAGAGATCTACTAGTCACCAGAAGTCATAAGTGCATCTCCTTTAAACAAGCATCTAAGAGCATAAACCAGAGCAAGAGTACAGAAACAAACTAATATGAATAGAATAAGTGCAACAAACTAGTATGAATACAATAAGTGGTGAGTGGAAGGCTCAGGGTAGTACTTCTTGAAGAGGTGATTCTTCAGCCTGATGAAAGATGGGCAGCGACTCTGCTGTCCATACGTCAGTGGGGAGTTCATTCCACCACTGTGGGGCCAGGACAGAAAACAGCCGTGACCGGGTCGATTGGCCACAGGACCTCTGAGTGACGGGGCAACCGATCGCCCCGAGGCAGCAGAGCGAAGTGGTCTGGCGGGGGTGTAGGGCTTGACCGTGGTCTGGAGATAGGAAGGAGCTGTTCCTTTCACTGCCCTGTAGGCTAGCACCAGAGTCTTACACTGGATGCAAGCTCTTACAGGGAGCCAGTGTAGAGAACGGAGAAGGGAAGTTGTGTGAGAACTTGGGGCGATTGAACACCAGGCGAGCTGCAGCTTTCTGGACAAGCTCCAGAGGTCTGATGGCTGACGCCGGGGCTCCGGCAAGTATAGAGTTGCAGTAGTCCAGGCGGGAGATGACAAGAGCCTGGATGAGCACCTGTGCCGTCTCATCAGTGAGGAAGGGGCGAATCCTCATGATGTTGTAGAGCAGGAATCTGCAGGAGCGTGTAACCAATGCAATGTTTGCTGAGACTGACAGTTGGTCGTCCAGGGTCACACCCAGGTTCCTCGCAGTCCGAGTTGGCGTCACCAAGGTTTCGCCAATGGTGATGGACAGGTCTCGGTGCGGGCAACCCTTCCCCGGGAGGAACAGTAGCTCGGTTTTGTCCAGGTTGAGCTTGAGATGGTGTATTGCCATCCATTTTGAGATGTCAGCCAAGCATGCAGCGATGCGTGCCTCCACTTGAGTGTCACCGGGGGGAAATGACAAGACCAGCTGGGTGTCATCGGCATAACAATGGTAAGAGAAGTCATGCGAGCAAATAACAGAACCCAGAGATGTTGTGTAGAGCGAGAAGAGAAGGGGGCCCAGGACTGAACCTTGTGGAACCCCCGTAGTCAGCATGCGTGGTTCCGACACGGCCCCCCTCCATGTCACCTGGTAGGATCAACCTGTCAGGTAGAATTCAAACAGGGAGAGTGCAGAGCCTGAGACGCCCATCCCCTCGAGGGTGGAGAGGAGGATCTGGTGGTTCACAGTGTCAAACGCCACAGACAGGTCCAGGAGAATCAGGACAGAGGAGAGAGAGTTAGCTCTCGCGGCGTGAAGCGACTCTGTCACCGCAAGGAGGGCGACTCAGTCGAGTGACCCACCTTGAACCCGGACTGGTGGGTGTCCAAGAGGCTGTTCTGGTGGAGAGAGAAGACAGTTGGTTAAAGATTATTATGAGTTATGACACAAACACCAGTTAATTATTATTATGAGTTATGACACAAACACTACTTTATTATTATGAGTTATGACACAAACTACTTTATTATTATGAGTTATGACACAAACACTAGTTTATTATTATGAGTTATGACACAAACACTACTTTATTATTATGAGTTATGACACAAACACCACTTTATTATTATGAGTTATGACACAAACACTAGTTTATTATTATGAGTTATGACACAAACACCACTTTATTATTATGAGTTATGACACAAATACCACGAGGAATCCAGCAGCTCTCAGGGGCCTCTGGGGGGAAAGAATCCAGCTTTGATGGCTGATTTGGGATCACGAGTCTTTGTTTGAACGGATGAATGTTGCCTGAGAGACTGACCTCAGATCTGTGAGCAGCAGCTGGTTAATCGGCTTTAAACTCAGATTCCTGGACAGAAAGAAAAACGAAAAACAGTGAAGCTTAGAAATGTGACAACCGCCACCTCCTGGTTTCCTTACTGATCTTTAGAGACCTTTAGAGACCAGGAGGACCAGGATACAGGTGTATGCAGGTGTTATAGCAACAACAGAAAGCTACTTATTCAAGCATCATTTACCGTCATGATGCAACAAGGATCCTCAACAAAAGTAGTTGTAGACAAAACAAAAATAGGTGTGCGTCTTTTGAATTTGTATCATAAGGACCATGGTGGACAATGCTGGGCCATGTTGGACCTTGTCGGGTCATGGAGGACATTGGTGGACCATGGTGGACCATTGTGGGTCATGGAGGACATTGGTGGACCATGATGGGCCATGGTGGACCATTGTGGGTCATGGAGGACATTGGTGGACCATGGTGGACCATTGTGGGTCATGGAGGACATTGGTTGACCATGGTGGACCTTGTGGAGCCATGGTAGACCATGGTGTACCATTGTGGACCATGGTGGACTTTGTTGGGTCATGGTGGACCATGGTGGACCATTGTGGGTCATGGTGGACCATGGTGGACCATGTTGGACCTTGTCGGGTCATGGTGGACCATGGTGGATCATTGTGGGTCATGGTGGACATTGTTGGACCATGGTGGACCATGATGGGCCACTGAGACAGGATCTGATCACAGATCAGTGGGACTCTGCTAGGGCTGCACGATTGCACGATTATGGCCAAAATCATAATTGCGATTATTTTTGATCAATATTGAGATCACGATTATTTATCACGATTATTCATTAATTTTAGGGACAACATCTTTTTATTGCACTTTCACGTTTAAATGAACAAGAACACTGCTTCCACTTCCATTGTTGTGCTACATTCTGGCTAATGTACAAATCTTTGCATCAGACTGATCCTGATCACAGTGCATCTCGTAGAAGGAAAATATAAATAAAATAGTATCAACACTTTTTACCCAAAATGAAATCGACAGAGCACTGCTTTCACTTCCATGTTGTGCTACATTCCAGCTAATGTACACGTCTCTGCATCAAAATAAAACGTATACAGTACTGATCACCTGAAGCAAAATATAAATAAAATGTTTACCCAAAATAAAGGGCTAACTAAAAATAAATATGTCTGTTGCTCACAGTATTTATTGGACACGTCTTTGGCCAAATGAAATGCGATTGCATTCCGTTATTTCAGCGTGTCTTTGGGAGGTGGATGGATACGCTGTCGCGCTATGCAGGGTCGCTGTTATGGGTTTCTGGGTTGACGTTGGACATGGACGGAGATTCAGTGAGGTAACGTTAGCTTTGGCCTTAATGCATTCATCGTACTGTGGTTTGTGGTGATTTTTCAGGTGGTTGAACAAGTTAGTAGTATTGCTATGCGGCGCAGACACAACTCTAACGCACTCTGTGCATATGATTTGTTTTTGGTTAACATCATTTGCCCTAAATCCAAAAAACTTCCAGACAACGGATGATGATCCTTTCGAGGGGCTAGCTCCTCACCTTCTGCTCCTGACATTTGATTTAGCTTTCACACGACACCCGTGACCGTCTGTTCTGTTGTCTGTCTCTCTATTCTTCTACTCGACTGCAGGGTGCGCACATGACACCTCCCATCTCGTTCGCCCCCTGGTGGTCGGCTGACTGTTAGTTGAGAAAGAGCTTGATTTGATGTGTAGCAGAGCACACATTTTAAACGTCAATATCGCTGACGATCATGCTCATTTAATCGTGGCAGCCAAAATCGTGATCGCGATTAAAATTCGATTAATTGTGCAGCCCTAGACTCTGCTGATGGAGACTCTTTGACTTCATGTGTCACTAGTTCCATGGTTCTGGTCCGGTTGAGGTTCTGACGTTCTGTGTTCTCGTTCCCAGTGTGAAGTCGGTCCAGCAGCAGGATGCGGGTCAGTACTGGTGTGAGGTGGAGTTCCACGACCTGACGTTCTCCTCTGAACGAGCCTGGATCACAGTGGAAGGTGAGGACCCTGAAGGCAGCACCTGTGTTCACAGCTGAACACACCTGATCTACTTCCTGTCTCCTATAGGTGTCCCTTACCTGGTCCATGGATCAGCATGGACCAGTATTAGTATTCACAGTTGAACACACCTGATTTACTTCCTGTCTCCTACAGGTGTCCCTCACCTGGTCCAGGAGCCTCAGGACGTGTCCACCTTCCCCAACGTCCCCTTCAACCTCACCTGTGCTGCTGTCGGACCCCCCGAGCCCGTGGAGGTGCTGTGGTGGCTGGGGGGGGTCCAGGAGGGGGAGCCCAGACCATCCCCCTCCGTCCTCCACGTCCAAGGTCAGAAAGCTTTCATGAAACACTCCACCCAGGTGCATTATGGGCAATGTAGGAACCAGTGTGTCTCTGCAACTCCAACTAATTCAGTGAAGTACGGTTTTAAAAACTCTTCACTTTATTACAATAACTTAATAATAATTATATTATATTATATGTATATATAGTTATATAATATTAATAATTATATTCATGATGAAACAGAAGTCAATTCACTTCCTTCATATGAATAATCACCTGATCATTATTATTATAATTTTATTATTATTATTAGTATTATTAGTACGACACTGAATGTAATGTACTGGAGGCCACGCCCACTGTTATGTGACCACCCCCCCTATCATCACTTATCTATCGTCAGGTGATCAATATTTCAGTCAGTTTTCACTTTGACAAACAGAGGTCACATGTTCATCTCTCTTCGTCATCGTGGTGTGTGCGTCTTCAATAATAGTCTGGTTATGTACACACACACACTTACACTTACTCACACACACACACACACACACTCAGCTTGTTGAGTCAGACGCATATGAGCGCTGGATTTAAGGTCACTCCTGACGAGTGGAGCTGAGTCTCAGTGAGGTGAACTGAAAACACAATCGGAAAAGCACGGTGTTGTTGTTGTGAGAGAGAACAAAGAGACACGTACCTGTCTACCTGTAGTCCAGGTGTCTCACTGGAGACTCTGCTTCACCATCTTCATCATCATCTTCACCATCATCATCATCATGTGTTCAGATCCATCTGGTCCACTCAGGTTAACGATGTTTCAGGAACACCTAGAGGAACTTTCTTCAAATTTGGCTCAAACGTCCACGTGGACTCAAAGATTTTATCATATTGATTGTTTATAAGCAGGATAACTTCCAGATTAACTGCAGATTGGAGGATCCTGTTCTACCTCTGACACACACACACACACACACACACACACACACACATATATACAGTATATCTTGAGGTTTCTTCTCTCTAATGGATTTCTTTCTATAAATGGATCCACTTTAGCTGATAAATGGAAAACACACACACACAGACACACTGCGTTTCCTGTCAGTGAGTGTGTTGTTTACCAGGAAGTTGTATTTTAAAGGAACATTCACCTCTAAATCAGAGATAAACTGATCTCACTTATTGATCTCCATTGAGCATTCTGTTTGCCTCCAAATGTAGCTCAGAGTTTAAACTGAATCTGATGAAGCAACTCAGAGATCCAGAAGATTAATTTATATGGAAACAAGAGGATAAACTCAAAGTCCCTGTGACATGCACCTGTTGGGTTGCTTCCTTTGGTTTCCTCATGAGATAACTGTAGCCTTCGGCCAGGTACAGATGTACAGGTGGTAGCCAACCTTCACTGAGTGTTTCAACCCTTAACCACAACCATCTGCCCATCTGCAAGCTCCTCGTCCTTGCACTTCCTTTACTAACGGCTAGTACTTCCTTCACTAAGGGCTGGCGCTTCCTTTACTAAGGGCTGGCACTTCCTTCACTAAGGGCTGGTGCTTCCTTTACTAAGGGCTGGCACTTCCTTCACTGAGGGCTGGTACGTAATTTACTAAGGGCTGGTACTTCCTTCACTAAGGGCTGGCACTTCCTTCACTGAGGGCTGGTACGTACTTTACTAAGGGCTGGCACTTCCTTCACTAAGGGCTGGCACTTCCATCACTAAGGGCTGGCACTTCCATCACTAAGGGCTGGCACTTCCTTCACTGAGGGCTGGTACGTACTTTACTAAGGGCTGGTACTTCCTTCACTAAGGGCTGGCACTTCCTTCACTGAGGGCTGGTACGTACTTTACTAAGGRCTGGCACTTCCTTCACTGAGGGCTGGCACTTCCTTCACTGAGGGCTGGTACGTAATTTACTAAGGGCTGGCACTTCCTTCACTAAGGGATGGTACTTCCTTCACTGAGGGCTGGTACGTACTTTACTAAGGGCTGGTACTTCCTTCACTAAGGGCTGCATTCAAAATATTACTTAAAAGTATAAAAGTATTAGCATCAAAATATAGTAAAGTATTATGTGTTATACTTATTGATGTATTCTTGTTCATCACTTTAATGTTGCAGCTGGTAAAGATGGAGCTCATTTTAATGACTTTTACTGTCTGCCTGTCTCTCTCTGTCTCTCTCTCTCTGCCTCCCTCTCTGCAGGAGTGAACAGCAGTGTGAAGTTTTACTGTGAAGCAAAGAACACCCGAGGAATCTCCGTCTCTAGAACAGGAACTGTTCACATTAAAGGTGAGTTCGCCTGCTGCATCTTCCCTGTGTGGATTATGTTACTCATACAGGTGTGTTCTGTACCTGTAGTATTTTGTATTTAAGCTAGTACATTAAAACTGTATACATGTATATTCATGTCTGAAGATTTAAAGTTTCTCCCTGCAGACTGTGTTGTGCATGTTTTCTTATATAAATATATATTTTTAGCAGTAGAACCAAACACTGACACACCTGTTGTGACTAGTCACTGTGGCGCAGCTGTGATTGGATGATAACTCTTTGGGGGGCGGGGTCTCTGTCTCAGTTTTGCCGGCGGCGCCGGTCAAGCTGCAGGTGAGGATGGTGGACAACAACGTCACATTGTCATGGAAACCGGGATTCTCAGGATACTCTGAGCTGTCCACCTGCATTGTCCAGGTAACACACACACACACACAAAAAGATATTATAGTAAAAAAACTAAATCAATTGAAATCTCCTCAGCTGTCGAGGCGTTCGGTCTGGAGGTGGGACCTCCCTCAGCAGGAGGTCCAGGTTCCTCCTCACCTTCAGGTCCTGTCTGGTCTGAGGAGTCATTCAAACTACAGCGCCAGAGTCTCTTGTGTGAACGAGGTGGGGGCGTCGCCCTTCTGCCCCTGGCTGCACTTCCAGACACCTGAGTCAGGTAAACAAAACAATGATCATAAGAGACATCATGAAACAAAACGATGATCATAAAAGACATCATGAAACAAAACATTGATCATAAGAGACGTCATGAAACAAAACACGTCAGTAAAGAATGTTGTGCATCTCCTTGTAGTCGTTTTGCGTCTCTTTGTAGTCATTGTGCGTCTCTTTGTAGTCGTTTTGCATCTCTTTTTAGTCATTGTGCGTCTCTTTGTAGTCATTGTGCATCTCTTAGGAGTCATTTTGCATCTCTTTGTAGTCATTGTGTGTCTCTTTGTAGTCATTGTGCGTCTCTTTTTAGTCGTGCGTCTCTTTGTAGTCGTTGTGCGTCTCTTTGTAGTCTGTGCGTCTCTTTGTAGTCGTTGTGCGTCTCTTTGTACTCGTGCGTCTTTGTAGTCATTGTGCATCTCTTTTTAGTCGTGCATCTATTTGTAGTCGCTGTGCGTCTCTTTGTAGTCGTTGTGCGTCTCTTTGTAGTCGTTGTGCGTCTCTTTGTAGTTGTGTGTCTCTTTGTAGTCGTTGTGCGTCTCTTTGTAGTCATGCGTCTCTTTGTAGTCGTTTTGCGTCTCTTTGTAGTTGTGTGTCTCTTTGTAGTCGTTTTGCGATTCTGTCTCTTTTTGGACGTTTTGTTGTTTTGTTTTTAAATAATATTAGTAGAAAACGCACACTTTGGATCAGAGATGCTGCAGTCTGCTGTTTTCTTCTGAGCTTCAACAGTAGCTGAGAGCTGGTTTGTTTTGTGTGTGTGTGTGTGTGTGTGTGTGGTCCAGCTGGATGGTGTCCAGTAGATTCCAGTCCTCTCAGTACAATCAGCTTTTGTCTGTGGCCTCAATCCATTTAAAAGGACTCTGCTGACTGCAGCCTCTGCAGCGCCACCTGCAGCCTTACCTCAGACCAGCTATTCAGACTACATTACTATATTATATTAATAAATGTAAAATCTATATCGAGTGAGTTCAGTTTTGCTCAAATGTCTGAGGACTTATTGTAAACTCAGACTGAGCAGACGGGCGTCCCTGCAGAGCTCTCTACGTGATAATAACTGTAATTTAACGGATCACGTGTGTCATACCGTCCTCAGTGCCCTCGGCAGCCCCCAAGAATCTCACCTTTGATCTGTCGGAGCAGCAGCTGGCTCTGAACTGGGCCGGACTACAGGAGGAGGAGCTGCAGGGAAGACTGTTGGCCTACAAGGTGCAGTGGACTCTGGGAGGAGAACTACAGGTGAAGGGTCCTCATTGGTCTGATGTGGGTTGGGAAGCTGAACGAACTCGTCACACTTAACGTGTCCTCTGTTTTTTCAGGAGCCGCTTCTGTTTAAGGAGAACTCGGCTCAGCTGTCAGGAGGAGGACGTTTCTTCAACGCCTCCTTCCAGGTGTCGGCCTGCACCTCAGTGGGTTGTGGACCCTGGAGTCCCCCGGTGCTGGTGCTTCCGGCCTCAGGTACACGACACACCTCAGAGATGGTTTTGTGCTGCTACAGTTTGCGTGAAGACTGACTCTGTGATGTGGTTTCCTCCCTCAGTCCAGGTCCCGGTCCAGCGGAGCCACATGTGGGTTGGTGTGCTGCTGGGTCTGCTGGTCGCCACCGTGGTCGGACTGCTGCTCACCGCCGTCAATCACCGCCGCGAGAAAGAGACGCAGTTTGGGTACAAAAACCACGACAAAACTCATGTTTAGACTCAAACCAGCAGAAAATGTGAGACTCACCACAGCAACAAATGAGGATTCATCCGCCGCTGAAAATAGTCCTATACTAAAGACTCCTGTTTGTTTGATTTAAAACTGCAGAGAATGAGTGATGAAAGTATATATAACAGTGTTTTTAAAGATTGACGTCTTTAGTGGGAACCAATGAGTCACACAGTTGGTTTGAGTCTAAACACGTAGAACCTGAACCTTAAATGTTTGACGACGCTGAAACTCTTTCTGTCCGTCTGTAGTCCGGTCTTCAAGCCTCCGGGTCCTGAGAGCTCGGTGTCCTTCACAGCGGCTCGATCCTTCAACAGAAACTGTGCTGAGCTGCAGGAGTCCACATGTGAGTCTGTTTGATCCTCAATCACTCAGAGTTAATTCACACACTTTAATGAAGAAGAGTTCAATTTTAGACAGCACAGTCAGACGAACACTGTGCGTGTGTGCGTGCGTGCGTGCGTGCGTGCGTGCGTGCGTGCGTGCGTGCGTGCGTGCGTGTCTCCTTCCAGTGGACAGTCTCGGTATAAATGAGGACCTGAAGAACAAACTGCAGGACGTTCTGATCCCAGAGAGGCTGCTCACACTGGGACACATGTTGGGGAAAGGTAACACAACTACACAAAAAATACACACACAACTACACTGATGCACAACACAAAAAATACATTTTAAAGTTAAATCTGGTTCCTGAAGCAGAACCTGTGATGAAGTGAAACCAGTTTGACTCTCAGAATGAATGAATGAAATGAGGCGTGTGTGTTTACCTGTGCAGGTGAGTTTGGCTCGGTGCGCGAGGCGTTCCTGAAGAAGGAGGACTCGTCCTTCCTGAAGGTGGCGGTCAAAGTGCTGAAATGTGAGACATTTGTGAAACACTGAAAGCAGTTGAAGTGTCAGTTAAAGTGTAAACATTGTTGAAGTGTAATAAACTAAAAGCAGATAAAATCAGTTGAAGCACAATCATGAAGGAGTTTGAAATGTTACGAATGTAAACAGTGAAAGTGGTTGAACAGTTGAGTAAGAACTGAAAGCAGTTGAAGTGTTGGCTGGTATCTAAGCCTTTAAAGAAGAAAACAATAAAAGCATCTGAAATGTCAGCTGAAGTGTAAATTAGTGGAAGTTAAAAGCAGCTTGGACATCAATTGACGAGTAAGCACTGAAAGCAGTTGAAGTGGTTTCATAGATTAAATCAAAATGGCCGCAGCTCGCTGAGCAGCCGCTGCAGCTTTTCATTGACATTTTATGTGTTTTCAACTTATAAGATAAAAAAACTGTTTAAATATAAGTTAAAGTGTAAATAATGGACAGTGACAACAGTAGAAATATCAGTATATAATATATATATATAATATCAGTCAGTGGAGGAGTAAGAATCAGTCGGAGTAGAAACTGAAAGCAGTTTAAGTGTCGTTTGATTAACACGTTTGTGTGTGTGTGTGTGTGTGTGTTCCAGCTGACATCAATTCCTCAGGTGACATCGAGCAGTGTCTGAAGGAGGCGGCCTACATGAAGGACTTCCACCATTTGAATGTCATCCAGCTCATCGGTAACTCACACACACACACACACACACACACACGTATTATATGACCATGGGTCAAAGGTCAGACGGTTTGATTCACAGTTTCTCCCGTCCAATAGGAGTGAGTCTTCACCGCCGTCCTGTCCAGCGGCTGCCGATCCCGATGGTGGTTCTTCCGTTCATGAAGCACGGAGATCTGCACACGTTCCTGCTGCTGTCTCGACTCGGAGAACATCCTTTTGTAAGAGAACGTCCTTTTTGTAAGACGTCCTTTTTGTAAGAGGACGTCCTTTTTGTAAGACGTCCTTTTTGTAAGAGGACGTCCTTTTTGTAAGACGTCCTTTTTGTAAGAGGACGTCCTTTTTGTAAGAGTGCGTCCTTTTGTAAGAGTGCGTCCTTTTGTAAGAGTGCGTCCTTTTGTAAGAGTGCGTCCTTTTGTAAGAGTGCGTCCTTTTGTAAGACAACGTCCTTTTGTAAGACAACGTCCTTTTGTAAGACAACGTCCTTTTTGTAAGAGAACGTCCTTTTTGTAAGAGAACGTCCTTTTGTAGGAGAACGTCCTTTTCTAAGAGAACGTCCTTTTCTAAGAGAACGTCCTTTTTGTAAGAGAACCTCCTTTTGTAAGACAACGTCCTTTTGTAGGAGAACATCCTTTTGAAAGAGAACGTCCTTTTGTAGGAAAACGTCCTTTTGTAGGAGAACGTCCTTTTTGTAAGAGAACATCCTCTTGTAGAACATCCTTCTGTAGGAGAACGTTATTTTGTAGGAGAACGTCCTTTTCTAAGAGAACGTCATTTCGTAAGAGAACATTCTTTTGTAGGAGAATGTACTTTTTGTAAGAGAACGTCCTTTTTGTAAGAGAACGTCCTTTTGTAAGGGAACGTCCTTTTGTAGGAAAACGTCCTTTTGTAGGAGAATGTCCTTTTTGTAGGAGAACATCCTTTTTGTAAGAGAACGTCCTTTTGTAAGAGAATGTCCTTTTTGTAAGAGAACCTCCTTTTTGTAAGAGAACCTCCTTTTGTAGGAAAACGTCCTCTTGTAGAACATCCTTCTGTAGGAGAACGTTCTTTTGTAGGAGAATGTTCTTTTGTAGGAGAACGTCCTTTTGTAGGAGAACCTCCTTTTTGTAAGACAACCTTTTTGTAAGAGAATGTCCTTTTTGTAATAGAACCTCCTTTTTGTAAGAGAACCTCCTTTTTGTAAGAGAACCTCCTTTTGTAGGAGAACCTCCTTTTGTAGGAGAACCTCCTTTTGTAGGAGAACATCATTTCGTAAGATAACATTCTTTTGTAGGAGAACATCCTTTTCTAAGAGAACGTCATTTCGTAAGAGAACATTCTTTTGTAGGAGAATGTTCTTTTGTAAGAGAACATCTTTTTGTAGGAGAACGTCATTTTGTAGGAGAACTTCCTTTTTTAGAACGTCCTTCTGTAAGAGAACATTATTTCGTAAGAGAACATCCTTTTTGTAAGAGAACGTCCTTTTGTAAGAGAACATCTTTTTGTAAGAGAACATTCTTTTGTAAGAGAACATTTAAAGGAAAAAAACACTGTTCAGTTCTTTATGTAGCCGGTTAACGACCAATAACTCACCAACACTTTGTCCTTTAAATACAATCAGTTAAGTCTCGTCCATAAGGGTTCTCTAAAGTGTTCACTTAAAAGATCTCAGAAACTAAAGGTTCCTCTGACTCTCTGTTAGTAGAGTTTACAATGATCCATGGAGACAGTGAACGCATCACGAGATGTTCTTATTGTTATTTAACAATGTAAACATATGTCCTCGTGTCCTCATGTCCCCGTATCCTCGTGTCCTCATTTCCCTGTGTCCTCTTATTCTCATGTCTTCATGTCCTAATGTCCTCATATCTTCGTGTCCTCATGTCCTATATCCCTCCAGGACTTGTCCCTGCAGACCCTGCTGGGCTTCATGTTGGACATCTCTCGGGGGATGGAGTACCTGAGTACCCGGAGCATCATCCACCGAGACCTCGCCGCCCGAAACTGCATGTCAGTCCCCCAATCAGCTGGCAGAAATATCAGGCCACGCCTCCTCATTTACGTACAGCTCACACAGACAAAAAATATAACTTTGATATTTTTTTATTTTATGTTTCTATTTGATCTTTTCTGCTCTTCAGTTCTTTGATTTGTACAACTAACAAATATTAATAGAAGTGTGTTTGTGTGTGTGTTCCAGGCTCAATGAGAACATGACTGTGTG